TTTTTTTTTGCATGAATTAGTAGCCCTCTTTGTTTTTGTTTTTGGACCTTGGTCCGAACTGAAAGTGGCCTTTTTTTGAGCTCATTTTCACTTTTTATTAAGGGCTCAACCTTGTTTGATCCCTCCATAATACACTTGCTTCATTGACCATCTTGTATGTCATAATTTTGCATGCTATTTTTGACCCATGAGTAATTTATTTTCGAGCATGTTGTAAACTGATATAAGGCATATTTTGAGCCCCTCTTCGACATTGGAGAAGGGCTCAACATTGTTTGGTGTTTCCATGTGTCACTTGTAGTTATATCCCCTATTTGGCCCCATTTTTGCATAAATTAGTAGCCCTCTTTGCTTCTGTTTTTGGCTCTTGGTCCGAACTAAAAGTGGCCTTATTTTGGCCTATACTTCATGTTTCATTCACACTTTTTTTCTGTTTGGTGATTAGTTTATATACTTCATGTTATAGCACCTTTTGAGCCTTGTTTTGCATCACATTTTTAGCATGTTTGCATACTGATTCGAGGTCTTCCATATACTGTAAATGTTCATATTTTTGGTCCATCTTCAGTATTGTAGAAGGAAATTTTTCATTTTGAGTTTTGCTTATACCACTTGCTTCATTACCCCTTTTTTTGGCCCCTATTCTTACGTGCTATTTTTCCCTTACTTATACTTGCTGTTTGGCCATGTTTATAACTATGAAAGTGCATCTTTTGGGACTGTCTAGCTTCTGTCTTTGCATTGCATGTCCATATTGTACATGTTTGGCATAGCTATAGGCCATTTCGGATGCCTAATGTCGCATTCCGGGACATTTCCTTGCATTTCATGTCATTTCGCTTCATTTCGGGACTATTTTCCCCCATATTTTAGTGCTGAATTTCCATTAGCATGCTTGCATATCATTTCTGTCATTTTCACAGCATTCCATCATCGCCTCGGTTTGCGTGCCAGTGTGCACGCATTTCGAGGCACTTCATTTTCTGCCATCGGCATCTTATGTGAGTGTGGCTGAGGCTCTCTCATGTCAGTATAAGTCCATGTTGCATTTTTTATGACATTCGCATCGCTTTCGCATCACCTCGGTTTGCGTGCCAGTATGCACGCATTTCGAGGCACCTTTTTTTATCCGACGGCATCCCATGAGTGTGGCTGAGGCTCTCTCATGTTGGTATAAGCCCATTTGTCATTCTCATATCATTTCATCATATTCTAGCATTGCCTCGGTTTGCGTGCCCGCGTGCACGTACTTCGAGACATATATCATTGCTTCGGTTTGCGTGCCCGCGTGCACGTACTTCGAGACACATATCATTGCCTCAGTTTGCGTGCCCGCGTGCACGTACTACTTCGAGACACATATCATTGCCTCGGTTTGCGTGCCCGCGTGCACGTACTTCGAGACACATATCATCACCTCGGTTTGCGTGCCCGCGTGCACGTATTTCGAGACACATATCATCGCCTCGGTTTGCGTGCCCGCGTGTACGTATTTCGAGACACATGCCATCGCCTCGGTTTGCGTGCCCGTGTGCACGCATTTCGAGGCATCTCATTTTCATAGCATTTTGTGTATGATAGGATTGTATCTTAGTTGCATTTTATGCATATCATGCATATTGCATCGAGTCCGGAATAGGAGTTAGCCCGGGCACGAGAAACGAGGTACATTTCGTACTCCGAGTGACGGAATGTGTCTCAATTCCCCAGTCACCGACACTCCGGATTACCCATGATGGAGTTAGTTTTTAACTGTAGTTTCATGTGCATTCATCCTATATTGAGTTGTGCATTTCGACTTCTCGGCCATCATGCCTCGGTATGCGTGATTGGTGGCCTGAGGATCGAGGACTACACTCCCTAGAGCTCATGTAATGACGGGGAGAGTGGTTGTGCATACATACGTTGAAAATACTTTGCCATGCCCCTTTCTTACTCTCTGTTGCAACAAACCGGAAGTCAGCAGCAAAAACTGGTCGGTAGTATCCCTACAGCATGGTGGAGTTTCAGCCTTCTGGAGTTTTGTTCAGTGTTCTGGGACCAGTTGCAAACAGAGGCAAATTGGGGCATCGCGATGGATTTTCTGGCAAGGCGACTCAAGCATGCATGCATTCCTTGCATTCAAGACCGAGCTGAGGCAGTCCATTTCATGTAGCCTGCATGCTAGTTTATTTGTTTCCTTAGTTTAATTTGTTAATTATGAATGCATCAATAGCAACTTTGATCCTCAAGCTTCACTAAAACTTTGTCTTGGCTTTGATGAGCCACTTCCCAATGGTCCTCCGTATCATCTGCTTGTTGATAATCTTATAATTCAAACTCTTGGCAACATAGATATATATATATATATATATGTTTTATACATTTTGCAGATATGGTTGCAAGTCTGCATCCATCATGTTACAACCTTATGAACATTTGTTATCTGGCATGCTAAATTATGCAGTTCCTTTTATCTTCTTTGTCTGAGTTATGTGTGCTTGATTGCAATGACCATGATAATGTTAGTTGTTACCCATTGAAATTCTACAACTGCTGCTTTGTTTTCCTGTATAATTTCTGCATTTCTTGGGAACCTAATGGAGCAAGACTTTGTATTAATTTTAAGTGAATGCTGTAGTTTTCTGTTTTTCTTACAGAGTGGGAATGTAATAATTTTCATTCTGCACCTTCAAACGATACATTTCTATAATAAAGTAGTTCCAAGTATCACTTTCTTTCACCACAGAACCACAATTGTTATTATCTTACCCAGCTTAAATATCACTTTGATATATCACTAACTTTGGAAATCCAATTTTGCAGTTCAACAAATAAACCTAAAGTCATATTGTTGCTACATTTCTCATATATATAAAGTAACCAAATGTATGGCTGAGATAACTCCTTATAGTTTTTATTATTCTAGAGTATGTATTAAGGGGGCATGTAATCTATTTTTCTCTGGTACAATTTCAAATGATTTGCTTTCATGCAGCATGTCATCTTTGCATATTTTCCCAAATACCCAATCATATTCCTTCATTTGGTAATATGAAATTCAACCCCATATGAGGTGGTTACTTGTCACAGAAACAGTGACATATACATCATGTCAGTACGTGCATACTATTTTCTGATGTGCTTCTATGGCAGACGAAGTAGTATGCAATATGCGATGAGAAGGCTTGAAGCATAGCAACGCTAACTTTGTGGGGTCTCTATTTTAATAAACGACTCTGTATCTGGCAAAGCAGTCCATGTTTGGCACTTCTTTCAAAAATCTGTTTTTCTCAAAAACGATTTGCCGGATTTGGACTCTTTGGTTCAGACTTAGAACCGTGACTACGAAAAGTCGAGTCCGAGCTGTAGCGAGGTCCCCCGCGAGCTTGTTACAATATGCCATTCAATAAAATCTCTCTCTAAGGCAGTCATGACACATCTGTCATGTTGGTACTTGTGGAACAGATAACCCAAAAAAGACCGAACACTTGCTTGCACTTGATGGAGCTAAGGAGAGACTTCATTTGTTTCAAGCATACTTACTGGAAGAAGGATCATTTGATCCAATAGTAGATGGATGTGAAGGTGTTTTTCACACAGCATCTCATGTTCATTTTTCAGTGAGTGACCCAAAGGTATGTATTGTATTACTTTATTGACACTGTAAATTTAGGATGTCAACACATTTTTACAACGAACCACCAATCTTGTAATTATTAACACTTTTGAGTTGATTCATCCATGTGATAGAATAGTAGATGCCAAGCAATCAAAGGAAAACCAAAGGAAAACTACAAAATTTTCAATTTTGTTTAGGTTAGGGCATACTTGGGATCTCAAGTAATTATTTTTAGAATTTTTTTTGGGGGGGGTAAAGGGGAGGAGGGGAAGGGGATAGGGGATCCCACTCAATTTCAAATTGATGAGCTTGGCTGCTTCCAAGGGCTCTAGTGTTTTTGCACTGCACCACTGGTCTTTGTTTGTATATATTTTCTAAATTAATCTGCTGGACATATCAATTAATCTTTTGGTTTCTAGAGTCATGTTCAGGCCAGTCTGAATCTACATAAACATAAAATGTAGTGGCCCAATCTTGAAATTAGGCTTGAGCTTAATTTCCTAAGCTCAGACCAAAAGGAAATGAAAATGCTAATGATGCAAATTTAACCCAAAACAACTTTAAAAAAAAAAAAAAAAATTGTAACAATTTTGATACAAATGATAGTTAGATTAAGTGGCTTGGCTATGAATTTCGGGGTTCACATCTTCGAACTAGTCCTTTTATCATAAATGAACTGGTGGTGGCAGTGCTGGTAGTGAAGTAATAGTGGCAGCAGTAGTGATGGTAAGGTGGAGGTGATGATGGTTATTGAGAAAGTGACGATAATAGAGTGGCGGTGATGGTAGTAATGATAGTTGTGTGGTTGTGGTGGTGGTGGTGGTAGTGGTTGTTTGTGTGGTGATGAGGTGGTGGTAGTGACCATGATGGTGGAGTGTAGAGGTGGTGACGCTGATGATGGTGGTAGTGGAGTCATGGCGGCACACCTCAACAATGATATAAGCGTATGTGAGTGGGTTAGATCACCACTAGTACCAAAACCTTAAGCTATTAAGAAATGGGCTCAACAAAATATATCTAACACCCTTCCTTGTGGGCGACCTCGTCTTTCATATGAAGATTCAAATATCCGTATATACGGAGAAGAAAGAATGTAAGTGGGGACCAAATGCAAAAGAGAGACTTGAACTCAAGACCTCCCTCAACTTAAGCTTTGATACCATGTTTGATCACCACTAGTCCCAGAAGCTTAAACTACTAAGAAATAGGCCAAACAATATATTAATCTCTCTAACAATTTGAAATTCAGCATAACTAAGAAGTCTGTTACTTAAAAAATTAAAATTTTAGCCTATTTTTATAGTTACTTAAAATTAAAAAGCGTGGTTATCAAATGCACTTATTTTTTTTCACTGAATACTTTCAGTTTTTAGTGTTGAATTGAGTTGTCAAACAACTCCTTAGCCCTAGTGAAAGCAAGAAAGAGATTATGCCATGTGATTAACAATGTAATGCTTATACTTGATAGGAGTTGATCTTATAAGAATTTGGTATCTTGTTTTTTGTTTTTTTGAATTTTCTTAGAGACATAAATTATTAAAGGGTCAACTGTAGTTTTTTTTTTTTTTTCTCCACGGATTCTATATTTTGTCTCTAGCAGTCACATGTTCCCCATGTCTTCTGTTGCTTTTATTATAGTCTTGAAAATTTTGCTCCCTTGTGTGAAAAATTTGTCCCCTTGTCTCTCTCTCCATTATTTTGAAATGGTTCTGCTATTTCCGTTCCAAGAGAAACAAAAAAATCCAATATTTTCAAGGATTCCATTTCTAATTGCTTAGGGGCAGGGTTGTTCATGAGATCAATTACAATTTACAGGTCATGTATAATAAAGTAAAATGCGACAGATTTCTAATATGTAATGCATGATGAATTATCATTTGTTCACTATCAACTTATTAGTCTAATGGGACTTGTGTTTTGTTTTTGCTTCATATTTCAGGTAGAACTAATTGATCCTGCATGAAGGGAACAGTTAATGTGTTAAGATCATGTGCAAAAGTTCCATCTATCAAAAGAGTGGTTCTAACATCTTCTATGGTTGCGGTCATTTGCAACCGAAAGATGCTAACTCCTGGTTTACATATTGATGAAACTTGGTTTTCTGATCCATTGTTTTGCAAGGAATCAAAGGTGTGTACATGTGCTACTTTCTGAGTTTCTGATCATCATTTCTTTGCAATTGCTTATAAAAATAAAGCTTGTGGGAATTCTACTTCTTGTATTTCAATGTGATGATGTGAAACACTTCAGAAGATCACCGGGTCAATTTGGTGTATTTGTGAGCTGGAGCCAGGATTTGATCATGTATACAGCAAGATACTTTCTTTTTTTGGTTTTCGTTACTGTTACTTTACGATCAGAAACAACTGTTTATAATATGGCCATTCTCTTTCTTGGTCGCATTTTGAATGATCTGACTTGGTAATATGAATATAACCAAAAGTAAAGATCATTTTTCTGATGCTGCATAATTCATATGTTGGAGAATTTGGTACTTGGACTTGACAATTTTTGCATTGAGATTACTAGAAGTAGAAATGTAGCAACAATGACGTTATGTATTACAGTCGAGTTTGTAGGGATGCATATATTCTATGGTATTTATGTAACTTTAACACGTCTCTATTAATAACTAAGGTATGTGTACATATTTTAGATCCGTTGATGGATCTGGTTGTTCTTGTAGAATCTTCATTAGAGATACCTAGTCTTTTTTTCTTTTTTTTTTGATAAATAGAGATACCTAGTCATTTTTTATGAATCTCTATATCATAATCTATCAAGAGCATTGTAGAAACTTTTAGTTTCTTCTTTAATATGCTTCATGCTAGAAATGCTTCTAGTATGCTTGATAATTTTGATTCAGGTTGCACCACCGGGATACAATAATCATGACAGTTGTTAATTTAGCAAGTAATTATCCATGCATACATAAATAGCCTTAGACCCGTCCAAGAATCTTCATTAGAGATACCTAGTCATCTTTGATGAAGCTCTTCTTGGATTGTCCAATTGGGACAGTTCAGGAGCACAAGTCTATGTTGTAATTAGTAGTTCTACCGCTTAAATGTAGTCCATCTCGTAGAGATTTCGTGTAGTAGCTTCTCATGTTCTCTGAGTGCATACTAGACAAGGTGTAGCAGTACACCTAGTCTATGTCGTGTACTTGGAGAATCATGGGGAGATGCTGCCGAAATTTCGTTAGAGATGAACAGAGCGGTACGAGCTACTCAAATTATGAGATACAATTTTAAGCGGGCTGCCCATAAAAATTTACCTTTTAACTTCATAATTTTGAAGACTTGGTTAGTGAAGTTATTTTCTTACTTAGCCTTTGTCTGAAACTTTTATTGGTAGACTACATTTTCACTTCACCGATTCCCTTCTTAGTATTTACAAATTTAATTTTTATTCATAAACACATAAATAATAATGTGACATAGATATTTTTACAATTATGTAGTAGTTGTTTTTAATTTCAAATGCCATTTAAAAAATTCATTACACCAACAAGCCGGAGTTCAAAACTAGCCTTTCTCACACCAACATAATGGTTTGTTTAATTTTTGTTATTTTGTCTTCAGAAAATTCATTACATTCTAAATTCATGTAAATTTTCTCTCCCTCAAAGGGCTAACCCAGAGTTTTGTTCATCCAAAGGATGGCACCAGATTATTCTATCTTTATGCTAAAAAAAAACCCATGTAAAGATGATTATAAAAGTATTTTTAAACTCTTAAGCTTTATTGATCTACAAGCCCTTGTAAGTACTGATCGCTAGCTTAGCATGCTCCAACAAAAGTGAAAAGTGTGATATACATAATAATAAGGTAGTAGAATGTCTTAAAGTACTTGAAACTGTATACTATACCTTAATAATGGGTGTATGCATTAGTAATGTGTGTTTTTACTCATCAATACAATTCTTTTTTAGGGCATCTTGATATTCAAATGACAGACAGTTTGATGTAACAAACAGAGTAAATTATTGAAATATTCTTCTAGATATTTGAAGCCTACCTTTCCCTCCTTTAAGTCTTTAGAAATTCGTGGAAACTGGGGAGGGAAAGGTTCCTCTTGTTATATGCTTATCAGTACCCCTCAGTGCTCAGCATCATCAAATTAGGTCTGTTTACTGCTTTGTTTGGTTCTAATCTTGTCAAAGATCTGGCTGACATGTTTACTTAGTTTAAGGTTTGGTGCACCCACTTGAAATTCAAAAGAAGGTGCGAAAGAGCTATCCCAAAGCTTGTTTGTCTGCATTTGGAGATTTCCTCTTCCTTACTTTTTATCGTCCATTTGGGAATCATTATGCTTTAAAGTGAGTTTATAATAATGTAATTTATTGTTTGCAGGTGTCTCTCAAAAGTTTTCAAGGGGCAGACTTTGTTTGAATTGCGTCCTATGGAAACAATGTGTTACAGACTCATGGTTGCTTAGATGTCTTAGTTGACAATATGCATGTATATGACACTAGCTGTGAAATTTTCACTTGAAATGATGATTCTGGTGAGATTATATTATGCATGTATATGGCATGTATTGAGGATTGGTTTTAAATCTAGCAGTTTGGTTGCATAGAGCAAACATAAAACATGAGATCCCCAAATTGTGAATTCAATTTCCACCACCACCGGCAGGGAACCCACCACCCTCCTCCCCAAAAAAAAGAAGAAAAAAAAAAGTGGCGTTTTCTGAAGAAAAAAAAAATGCCACAAAATGATGTCATTGTGACGTCACACATTAAATTCGTGCAGGGAAAAAAAAAAGTGGCGTTTTTCGAAAAAAACGCCACTAAATGACGTCATTGTGACGTCACACATTAAATTCGGATAGCTATGATTAGTTTGAGAAATCATTTCAAGTGCTCACTCTAGAGACTAAGTGGAGCACTGGCTTCAAGATGTTTATGATATCAACCCAAGTAATTTTGAACTCTTATTGTCAATAAGACATAAATCTGCTACTAACATATATATAAGGTACTCAGTAATTATTTTTGATTAGTGTGCCTGACCTAGAAGGCAGAAACTTCTCAGGAGCCTTTGCACCTAATGAAAGTGTGATCATTCTAGTGTTTCTTCAGAGATTAATTTAATTTTTACCACATAATATGTTACATCAAATTACTCAATTGACTTAAGATATTTCTTTTCCCTTCCAATTTGACTCCAACTCCAATTTAGTCTTGTTCCCTTTGCTATTCTAAGGCCATTGTGTAACTTTAACACAGGATCTTTCATTCAATTTTTTCACATGATCGAATTTAGTGAAAGCTTCTTGTTTGATTCCATTTACCTTTTTTTGCTGCCAAATCTACAAGTCAAGGACTGTATTTTTATGAATTCTGAATTTGAGCATATGAAGTGGAAGTGTCATTGAAACAATTTTGAATCTGGATTGATGATGTTATTGAATTCATATGGCCCAATGGAAGCAGGTTTCATTTAACGGCACTAGTTATGAACAATTTTATTGGTGGCTAATTACTAATTAACAATTGTAGACACAAATGAAGGACCTTGGGGCGCAATCCAATGCTACAAATGAAGAAATTATCACACAAGTTCTAGGGCCTGAGCGACTTGGTCGTGTTCGAACATATGAATTGGGTCCTTCCCCGATAGATGTCTTTGGAGGCGGATATAGGCAATCGCAAGAACAAACTCGTATCATCCAAACACAAGTCCAAGAGCAACTTAACCAATATAAAGCACAAATGGAGATGCAAATGAAGGAGATGATGGATGCTATGCTTAATCAACAGAAAGTACAAATGGAGATGCAAAGCACAATCCAAGCTCAACAAGCACGAATAGAGCAATTGGAGTCTCAACAGGCCATGGATGGGCCTGTTGCACCAGCTGCTACACATGTGCATTCACAACAACAATCCCATGCATACGCCTCATCGTTTAATTGTCATCGTTCGCCCGAGGAAGTGAGTAATAGTTAATTATGAAATTTTCATATGACATTTTATTCATGTTATTTGTTCTTATCAAATGCAGGTTCACATATCAAAGAAAGAAAAGAAGAAGAAGAAGAAGTAGATATGACAAACTCAGGTTCATTCTAAACCATTATAGTTGGATTTGCTTCCTCATTCTCACTTATTTGTTGATTGGCTTCAGATTCAGTCTAGTTAGTTGAGTTTTATGATGTGCATGGTCATAAACATTTTGAGTCTTTGTTGTGTACTTAATGTTATTAAGAAATGCATTAGAAAATGCTACTTTGTGAGGGTCAGGAAATTAAAAGGAGAGATTTAGAATGTGGGAAGTCCGTGGAAATTAAATGGATTTTGTTTTTTCTTAGTGATTCTCAACCTTCATTGTTGTTATGCAGGCATTGCTGTATAGGCTATCTGGTGATTATAATCCATTGCATTCAGATCCGAAGGTTGCAGAAATTGCAGGGTTAGTGCACCAAATAATTCAAAACTGCATTCTCTTGCCATGTTTTTTTTTATTTTTTTATTTTTTTTTAACTCTCTATTAGATGTGCTGCTATTGACTCCTAGATTCATGGATCAAGCCAACTGCATTTTTGGAGATATTAATTTTTCCTGGAACTATGCTTCATTTCCCATTGGCAAGTTTATGCTTTTTCAGCCAACATAATAAATAATCAATGATTATTGATGCATTCTTGGCTATTTTAACTTCTTTAGAGCTTATTCACCCCCAAAAAACTTTTGTAGAGCTAAGCATCTAAACGGCATATGCTTTGTACAAAGGGGGGGGATGGAGCTCACATTCAACTCTTGCCTATGACTGGAAAATAAAACAAAGAGAAAAGGAATAAAAATTACATTGGCAAGGGAAAATAGGCCTTGGATTGTGTAGTGTGGGTCATTTCCTTTAGCAACAGTGGTTACATCTCTTTTTCTTTGAAGACATTTAATCAGATTACCTTCTCTCACACTGTTGCGCATTGTCTTATCCTTGCCATTTAATTTTCCATTTTATTATATTATTATTTCTATTTTTGTTTCTGAATTTCAATCAATCATTTCACAGGGTATCTTTCGGCTCTTTGATAGGATTTTTACCATACTGCAATCTTCCTGCCAGGTGGAAATTTTTAGCTTTCGAATCATGGTTGAGAGGGAAAGCCTTAGACCCGTCAAATTTTTTGGTTGTCTTGAGTTTCTAAAACTCAATGTGGACATGGAATCCTTTGTTTGAATTGTGTCCTATGGAAACAATGTGTTACAGACTCATGGTTGCTTAGATGTCTTAGTTGACAATATGCATGTATATGACACTAGATGTGAAATTTTCACTTGAAATGATGATTCTGGTGAGATTATATTATGCATGTATATGGCATGTATTGAGGATTGGTTTTAAATCTAGCAGTTTGGTTGCATAGAGCAAACATAAAACATGAGATCCCCAAATTGTGAATTCAATTTCCACCACCACCGGCAGGGAACCCACCACCCTCCTCCCCAAAAAAAAGAAGAAAAAAAAAAGTGGCGTTTTCTGAAGAAAAAAAAAATGCCACAAAATGATGTCATTGTGACGTCACACATTAAATTCGTGCAGGGAAAAAAAAAAGTGGCGTTTTTCGAAAAAAATGCCACTAAATGACACCATTCTGACATCACACGTTAATTGGGGACGGAAGGCGAGACGGTCGTCAAAGATTTTGCGGCGTTTTAAGAAGCGCCATATAATATTTTTAGCGACGTTTTTCAAACATTGTGTAGCTATTGCAGCGGCCGTATCAGCGGCGAAAATATTACACGTCGCTATAAGATATTACAGCGTTTTTCAGGATTATCGCGGCATTTCTAAAACGCTGCTAAAAAACGAATTTCTTGTAGTGTTTCCAACAAATTGTCATACAGTAGGAATTAGTTTTAGGCGTGAAAGTATTTTATGGAAAAACTTGAATGTTTGATTATGATGCTTGCATTTAGACACGACCCTGTGCATTGAGGTACATGAAATATTATTGGCCATTCAGATTTGCCAGCTCTAAGGTTGTGTTTTTCTAGCCCGATCTGATCATGGTCGATTCTCATTATTGAATCTATTGATAACCTAACTAGTAAATCTATTTGTCCAAAAAAAAAAGGGTCAAAAAATTTATTGAGAATTTGATTATGTGGGCTGTCTTTTTTAATAAAAAGGCGCTTCTATGATGAAGGAGGTATTGTGGACTATCTTGTACATTATTTGTAGCTGTCCGTTCATGTCGAACACATAGCCCAACTACCACCTTGAGGCATGGACAACACATTGCCCAGACAACACCTAGAAGTATTGTCCGCTTTGACCTAAGCATGATAGCTGGCATGCCGCACGGATTTATTCCTTTGATTTTCCAAGGACGCCTCCACAATGGAAGTGTCCAATGCTATCTTATAAGTCTATTCTAAATATTATCCACAATCGATGTGGGATGGCAACACATATTTGAAACAAGATAATTGAGAATATTATCCGCAATCGATGTGGGATGGCAACCCATATATTTGAAACAAATGATATAATAACAAATATATAGCTTGGACATGAACTTTGAATACATCATATTAATATTTTTCAAAACTGGTGTCGTTCAATGGTCAATTTTATTGAATTATTTTAGAAAATTTGAAGTAATTTTCAAATTTTCAAAACTTTAATTTATATTTCTTTATTTATCTTGATGAAACTTTGTCCCACGTAAAAAAGAAAGGATTCAATGATTCAGCAATCATTCCATTTTTTTCATGCTAAACATGCATCTATTCCATTTTTTTCATGCTAAACATGCATCTAGGTTTATTATGAATAAAACCCCAACTTTTGTAAAATAACACAAAAGCCCCAAACTTTCACCAAATTACCAAACCAACCCCAA